CTTTCTTGCCACAATTGTTAAGTGAATCACAACAGTTGTTAAATTAGTAATACAGATGTTTAGTCAATTTGGCTTCCCCATTGACTTTGCTTGTCAGAAGCCCGGAAAAGGTGATCACATGACCCTGGGACAGTACAACTGTCACAAATACATGCCAACTGCCAAGTATCCGAATTCTGATCATGCGACTATGGGGATGCTACAATGGTCATAAGTGTGAAAACTGGTCAGAAAGTCACTTTTTTCAGTGCTGTTACAACTCTGAATAGCCATTAAATGAATGGTTGTAAGTCGAGGACTACTTATATCAAGTTTTGGCACCAGAGAAACAAACTCAGGATTCACACATAGCAACTCACTGGGTGATTTTGAGCCACTTACTGTTTCTCAGTCCCAACCCACAGTGGTATAAACAGTGAACCTGTTTGAATTTTCAGCATTTCTGCATGGGCATTTCTGCATGAACTAACTCAAGGCGGCTTTTGACAACATTTCAAGGCTAAGACCCTGAGCAGATCCGCCAAATAAGATTCTTGGTCCTAATTCATAAATTATACGATAAAACTGGCCTTAAAGTAAGATGTCACCAGTAGGGGACCTTTCCAACTTTATCCACACTCTTAAAAGGGTGAATGAAACAAGGATGCATCCTTGCACCATCGCTTTTTAACATATAAATCAATTCTCTATCAACCCCCCTCCCAGGGGATATCTACACTGCTAAACTAACAGACAACTCCCAATTTTACTTTATGCTGATGATGTAGTTCTCTCTTGTCTTTTATAGGCATGACTGAGAACACCGGCATCCTGCTGTAATGAGGAACAATTAATAATTATGACAAATCTAAAGCACTAGTCTTTTCTAACAGAAGACAAAAGTACATATGAACAATTGATTCCCATGAATTAGAACAGGTGAAATACTTTAAATTCTTGAACATAGTATTTCGGCCCTCAAGAAAATGAACTGTCCAGGTAAATTATATCTCTTCTACTACCCAAAACAGCATACAAGCAATAATTGCATTTCATAGGCAACAAGGAGCAAATTATATCCCAACAGCAGTTAAACTCTTTACAGCTAAAATAGTTGCCCAACTATTATATGGCATACAATTCAGGCCATACATGAAGCCATCCAATCAGATTTTCTCAAAACCTTGTTTGGCACCCCAAAAATGCATCCCCAATGAAGTACTAAGCTTGAAGCCAATGTGCCAAGTATTAAGGCTCAGGTCTGGACTAGGATACCAACCTCAGGTCTTAGAATCATGTTTGAGCCTACAGGCCCGATACCTTTGCTGTCAGACAATTACCAATTCCATTGACACTGTACCTGCATAGAACCCTGCTGTCTTGGCCTCTCTCCTGAATATGTAGGCCAGTTAACCCTAGAGAAGGCCAAATCAACAGTAAAAGAGAATATCACAGACACATCAATAAAATAATATCACAGGTGCCCCTGAATCCTATCTCCAATTGTTAGACAATCATAAGCCTTCAATTGCGGGGTACTTATACAATTTAACAGTAAGCAAATATAGATGTGCCTTTTTAAAAACATGCCTGTTTTTATGCCCTCCCATGAGCCCTACTGGAAGGAAGATTTCACGGAACCCTTATTCAAAAAGAGTTTGTCCTTGTGGTTCTAGGGAAGCCAAAACTCCCAGCTATTTTCTCATACGGTGCCCCTTGTACAGTGCCTAAATATTTGCTTTGATTGCACCAATCATTTACAACTATGTGGGCCATACAGATAAATTGTGTGTGTGTGTATTTATGGGACACTAACTTGTTAAGTGGCCATTTTCCCCCCAAGTCACACAACTGCATAATTTTTTTTAATAAGACATGCTGTTTTATTGTCCCATTATTTTCCCCTTCCCTAATAACTAATTGTTATATTAAACCTTTCTTTACTGTATTTTTTAAATTGTAAAGGATAGTCAAAGAACATAATAAAGATATTTGATTTGAACATGTCCTAAAATCTAGAGAACCCAATTAAAATAAATGAATCAAAAACCCTATACTTGGAGAACAGATCAGGTTTTAACTCATATTTTTGCAGAAACATTGCAAATTCAAAAGGATTATTAGAATTCTAATCACCACTGAATGGATAAAGAAATAAAATTGGTTGTTTCACATTATATTATCTATCATTTATTTTTTAAAATACAAAGCACTATGCTTTTGTTGAAATAACAAAAATGCCAACATGGCTCAATACGTTTAAGCAGGCACCTGTTAAAGGCAAGGTATAAAACATTTTTTTTCAACTACTCAATAAAATCAGCCTGATCGGGGCTAAGAGATTAAAGGTAAAAGTTTGCATCAATCTGTTGTAGCTGTAGCAATAGTTTTGTAGAAAATAATGAGCTATACATTTTCTCTTAAGGAAACTGGATATTCTTTCTACACGAATGT